CCAAATCCTAATATGCTCACAACATTCTCTATCAACTTCCCATCGCTTACGTACTTATCACCTATAGATATACCTACTATATATCAATAGATATATATGTGGCTGTGTGTGTTGTCGTGGTGCTGTGTTGTGTGCTTCCACTGCTACCCACTCACCTCCTATATCCTCACCGCCAAACTAGAGATCGTGTTGCTTGTGTGCCTCTCTCTGATTCTGATATGGTAAAGCCTCTCTGGAATCCTTCCTATAATGTATAATGTGTATGTCCTTCTTTGGATCATTAACATACGGTGCATGTTACCTATATCTGCAACCTCGAACTGTACGTAACTCTCCTATACAAGTGTGGTTCTCTATATCGCCTCCCTCTAGTACAATATACTCCCATGTGAGTGGCACGGAATCACAAATCAGTGACTATATAACTAATCTCATGTCTGCTCTTTTACCGGCACCTCCATTACTATCTACTGTATACCGTCCAGTCACTTATACACCCTCAGTGCTACAGTCACTTCGGTACTCCCCCGCAAGTGTGTATGTACTGCTAATCGCCGATACCTGAATATATCGGCCCGTGTGTGTGTGTGTCCTCAGTTTTCAACTATATAGTGTCGTATAGGGAATACGCTGTAATATTAATAATACCATCCTCATTATGTCCCCTCTCACCTATTAACTTATACTATATTGTGTTGTGACTAGTGATCTCTCTCTTTTTGTGATATACCCTTATGTGTGTGTGTTGGTGTGTTGGTCTGTGTGTGTGTTGTACAGTACCGCTAATAGACGACTCTATAATATTACATAATATTTACATGTATATTGTAACACTCCTGCTCTGGCTCTCTCTCTCATTAGTATTATATATTACTATTATAATATATATCCGCCGTATATATACTAGAATATAATATGATCCTACTGTTACGCTCTCTCTGTTCTCTCGTACTCAGTCGGTTGTCAGTCACGTATCATCAGTGCTGCGCGTGTGTCGCGCCTCTCCATATAGCTTACACGATACTATGTCCACTTTACTCAATCTCGCGGTTCCTATCCGTATAGGCGCTCTCCTCCTTCCTACCCATTTACCTTCTATCCGACCTCCACTATGCGATACGTCTCTCTCTCTCTCTGTACTCCCTCCTCTCCCTATTCTCAATTCTTGGGCTCTCTACCTCATACTCGACTCTATCTAACTCTTCTAAGTCCCTCTCTGTCCTATATATACAAATAAGCTCTACCTACTATATATATATATACTTCGTGCGCGATCGCTTTCGCCACCTCGTTGTTCACCCTCTGTCTTTATCTCTGTGTTTGTGTATGCTGTGTGTGTCGTGTGGTGTGTGGTGGTGTGCATCCCTCCATCATTGTGTGTGTGTTGTGTTGTGTGTGTGATGTGTGTGTGTGTTGTCTATGTATGTTATATATATATATATACTTATATATATACATATATATATATATTATATAATATAATAATTACATATATTATATATATATATATATTATATATAAATATACTATTATACGTTATATATGTATGTATGTACATTTATAACCATACATGCACCACACACACACCACCACACACACACACATACACACACACACACTATATAATAGTATATTATATATATATATATAAAATACTATTATATATATATATATATATAATAAAATAGATAGATAAGATAGATAGATAGAATAGATAGATAATGATAGATTAGATAGATAGATAGATAGATAGCATAGATAGATAGATAGATCAGATAATAGCATAATAGTGACTATATGTTGTCGTGCTGTTTGTCTACTCGTCATTATAATATGCTAGCTTTATATTTATAGTATATACTCACTACTTACACCCATTAGTATCATACTATATACTATATGTACTATATATATATCATGATTTGATATTTACTAATCATATACTATACTTATCATATACAGATATATGACTATATACCTACGCTCAACTCGTATGCATACGTACCTACTACTCACTTTACATATTTAAACATGACTTTTAGCATGTATTAGTGAATCTTATAGCATATCTACTCGGCGACACCGCCTGAACATGTGCGCGCACCCCACACACACATACTACAACACATACCATATATATTTCTACACCCGTATGAGTCCTTTATATCACCATTCCTCGATAATGCTACATTTCTCATACTGCTCTTGCCGCTATACTATACATCTATACTCTCAATATATATCATCGTGTATCTAGTACTCTAGTAACTGTTAGTACATATTATTATATCTAAGTATCTGCGTACCTAGCCCGCTCTGATAGTTGCTCCTCGTCACATCTCGCGTATATAATACTTTCATCTCTCGCATTAATACCGTATAGATTCATAAGTTATACTATTCACCAACAAAATACCTTATGATCTTCACTACTGACATCATATGACAATCATTATTATATAAATTTCATAAACTAATATCTATATATTAATACTGATCT